TGTGTGTGTGTGTGTGTGTGTGTGTGTGTGTGTGTGTGTGTGTGTGTGTGTGTGTGTGTGTGTGTAAAATGATGATGATGATGACCAGAAAATGCACAATGCATTCTTCACAGTCCAATCTCCCTATGCAGGTAAGAGGTTCATTCTCATGAGAAAACGCTCTCCAGTGAGCCAGGGCCACAACAGGGCAATACATGGAAACTCTAATATTAGCACAAATACGGTTACGCTGCTGACATCCAGGTTCTTCAGTCCTGTTCTTCACAAAACCCCATCAGGACATCTGTGTGATTGTGTCTCTCTCCACTCTCTTCCTTTAGAGGAGCTCCCTGGCCTTCCTTTCACAGCCTGGCCATTTTTGAAGATTATGAGCTGCCTTACAGACTGTTGCTCTATTTAACTCCTCTCTCATTACCTGGTTCAGGTTGAGCCATCTTCACCAGAAGGTGTAGAAACAGGCGACAGAGGTTCCATTGTCCCTGCAGCCTTATGCTGACTCTTGTGGCCGACGTTGCTGTCCCCAGATTTCTCCGTGGGAAGCATCACCTTCCCCTTTCTAATTGGTAGATGATTTTTGGGATGATTCCTGGGGCTCTGTTCCCAGGAGACTTTCTTATCTGCACTGATTTTTCACCTGCATCTCTCCTCACTGTGGCGGTGGTGAAATGGGGTCTTCTCACCCCACTCCACCTTTGAGTAGATCACATTCTTCTGCCAAGAAGAACGGGGTCCTTAACACTGCAGTGGTGTCGGTGTGGACCTATGGATTCTCTTTCCCAGACTCCAGTGTGTTGTAATCAATCCCCGTCGTTTATTCTACAATTTATTACCTACTAATTATTACCTAAGTTGGCCCCTGAGAGCCAAAAGTCCCATGCTTTCCTTTGACCACTCAGAAGCCAGAAGGAGAAGGATCAGAGTTCGAAGCCAGCCTGGGCTGACAGTAAGACCCTGTCTCAAAAAAAAAAAAAAAAAGCGAGGAAGTAGCACAGTGCTTGCTTAGCATGTGCAAAGCCCTGGACTTTATCTTCACCAGCACACACATGGACACAGGCACACATGCACACCCACACAGATACACGCACGTGCACGTGTGCGTGCATACTTTAAGCCCTCTGAATGGCAGCCTGGCTGCATCATGGGGGCTTTCAGGAACCTTGGTATTCCCTATTAGCATAAGAAATTTTCTAGGGTCATTACGGGGTTTCTCTATATTCTTTGTGTTTCTCATTCAAGTGCTACAGGGTTTTCTCAGTCTGTACCAGCGTGGCTGGTCTGCCCTGCCTACACACCATCAAACCAAGTGGGCTAAACAACAGGAATCGTCTCCAGGCTCTGGAGACAGGTAGTGAAAGGCCACAGTGTAGTCAGGCTGGGCGAGAAGCTGCCCCGGGCCTCTCCGGGGCTCTGCGTGGCGCTGGCCTTGGGGGTCCCAGGGTATGCGGGAACGTGGCCCATCTCCTCACACAGCACTCTCCGTGCGTGGCTTTCTCTGTGTTCAAAGATCCCTCGTATATAAGAGCAGGAGTCCTTCAGGATTTGGGCTCACGGTGTCGATCTCATATATCTGAAAAATCTGCAGTCACCCCACTTCCAAGTGAGGTCACAGGCCGTGCCCGTGGAGAGAAGCCCTTCAGCACAGGGATTGCAAGGAGACTCACTTCAACCCAGAACACCTCCCAGCTTTCTTTTCTTTCCATTGCTCTGGGTTTCCTCATCCTTGGACATGCCCTCTGTCTGGCCATATAGAATGCCCAGGGCCCTTGCAAGGAATCCAGAACTTTCTGAGCTCTTCATGAGCATCGCAAGCCACAGTTAACACGCGCTCAGACTGCGCCTGGTAACTTGGCACACAGCCCAGGCTCGTCGGATCCTCATGCTCTCAGAACCAACACCCACTAACTCAGTTGAATCTAATTTGTTTGACTAAAATCTGATAGGTTTTAGAAAATATGGCCTATCTGGATCCATTAACATGGAGGAAAATAGAGGTCACTTTCACTTCTCTCTAATGCCATGTTTACTGGCAATAACTGCTGGGTTTAATGGTTGCTGCAGGATCTCTTTCTATTCTAGTGGAGGCTAAATGAGCCACTCTGGTATTTATTACCTGCTCATTAAAAAGCGAAGGTATCCGAAGCCATAATGGAGGCCTTCGTTATCACTCATTTCCCCAAACCATACCATTGCCCTTGCAGGGACAAAGGCTTTGGAAATGCCCCCCACAACAAGACAGTGCGCACGCGCTGAACTGCAGCTCTCATTTCCCGAGCAATTGAAGATGGCTGCAAGCTTCTGACATTTTCAGTGTTTCATGTACACATGAATGTCCATATTGTATTTTTCATCCATACATAGCCTCAGAGCTCTGTACAATCAATACTTGCTGCGGGAAGAGCGCATCAGGAAAAAAAATGTCAAGACAACGTGATCTGTTCAGAGGATATTTTTACTCCAGATTCAGATACAAATCAAGAGAATCATAAGAGCACATAAAGGTCCGGCCTCATGACAAATGGAGACAGCCAAACTAATTTTCTTGGTGACCTTATCTAAATTAGTTAGAAAATAACACTTCAGATTTATGGCTAGTTACAATTAAGCCCTTTGATATCTTCTAATTAAACCTGTGGAGATTTATTTCTGTATTATTCCTCTGGTAACCCTTTAAAAATGATAAAAATGTAAATGAATATAACCCTCAAAAGGAGATGTTTCTGTTTATCGTAAATTAGACTCAGGCCCTTCTTTTCAAATGACTGCATTTGAGAATCAGATTTATACTGCTCCCATACAAATTCCACATGAATACTAAATAATTTACTAAATAATTTATTTGGGAAGTTTGTGTGACATATATATACATATATGTATATATATATATGGAGAGATAGAAGAGAATATAAAGCCCACAATATTCTGTATGCCTCTCATTTTAAAATCTTTATCTCATTTCACATAACCCAATATTCAATTTGTGTAAAGATGTTGGGTTAACCTAATATCAATGTAACTCTCAGTTTACCAGACTACTTTTCTTGCCTGGTGACTTTCCTTCCACTCTTCATCTGAGAAAAGATCCGTTCCTTATAACAACCCTCCCTAATCCAATTATAATTGCTCGGAACTGTTTCATTCTTATTCTGCGCTCATTTTACACCCTCCTGGCTTCCCCTTCACTCACCTCCGGTTTCATTCCTCCCTAGGTGAGTACAGCTACCTGGGCACCACCCTCCGCCAGGTAGCCATAGAGCCCATGCCTTCCCTCCTGGACGTCAGACAGCTCATCACGTTGTATGGAATCCTGCCATTGGGTAAGGGCTGTGTGTCGGGGGAGGCACCACCCACCGGCTTTGATAGCACTTCCTGTTTGTTTGTCCACAAGGCTTTGCAGCTCAGCTCTGCCTACCCAGAGCCCCTGGGGTGAGCGTCCTCCGGCCTCAGTGGTGTGTCCCCAGCACAGAGAGGCACCGAGGCACAGTGGAAGAGCATTTCGGCTCCCTCTTTTGAGTCTGGGTGGTAGACCTCAGGTGATCAATCAGCCAGTGGCCAAAACAAGCACCCCAACTAAAATTGATCACCTGAGAGCCAGGACTGGGCAACCCGCTTCCATTACATGGGCTTCTGTGGGCGGGTCCTGAGCAGATGGGGCCTCTCAGAAGTGGGCCCCAAGGCCCAGCTTCAGGGTCTGCTGTGTCCCCAAGGTGCTGCCCGGCCTGCCACTCTGAACTAGACATCACTGCTTCATTTCCTTTCAGATTCTTGAGAGTCATTTTAACATTGAAAACTTGTTCCACTTGGTCTGAAGAACATAACCCTGGGGCTGGGAAGGTGGCTCAGTGGTAGAGCGCTTGCCTTGCATGCCTGAGGCCCTGGGTTCGATTCCTCAGCACCCCATAAGCAAAAAGAAAAAAGCCGGAAGTGGCGCTGTGGCTCAAGTGGTAGAGCGCTAGACTTGAGCTGAAGAGCTGAGGGACAGCGCCCAGGCCCAGAGTTCAGACCCCGCGACTGGACCCCCCCCCAAAAAAAGAACATAACCCTATAAGCAAGAGATTCCCTTTGTAATCAGAAATAGGAAGTTTAGCACTGGCTATGCTGGTTCAAGCCTGTAACCCTAGCTATTTGGGAAGCAGAGATTAGAAGGTCAAAGTTTGAGACCACATCAGGAAAACAAACTTGTAAGACTCCATCTCAACCCATGGCTGAGTACAGTGGTGCGCACCTGCCATCCCAGCCACGCCGGAAGGGTCAGGAAGGAGGACAGTTGCGGCCCAGGACAGCCTGGGCAGAAAACAAGGCCCTACTTGAAAATAACCAATGCAGAAGGGACTGGAGAAAATATGCAGTTGTGACTCGTTGCAAGAGGCCCTAAGCTCAAACCCCCAGTACAGTACTACCACGAAAAAGCACTAGGAAGTGGAACTTGGGACAACAGAAGTATATAAATATCCAGAGTAGACAGATACGACATCCATGGGTCTGCACGTCCCATCCCACCCAGAGCCAGTGGGCATCAGGGCCCTCCTCCCCATCTCCCGTCCTAGGCCGTGGAACGGGAGAGGTGCCGTGACTCCTGGCTGCTGCTAGAGGCCTCGCCCATCCCTCCCAGGTCACTAAGGAGCCTGCTGTCTTCCTGGCCACAGAGCGGCTGGGCATGTGTTCTCATGACTGGGGCTTGTGTCCTGTGTCTGGAAGTGTGAGCAAGTCAGGCTGGTGACCGATGCACACTGAAAAGCCTTCGGTGCTTCGTTTACACTTCATGGGTTCACTCCCATGGGAGCCAGGCCAGCCTGGGAAGACTGATGGCTCCCTCCCTCCAGTGAGCACAGAACCTAGGGCCACCCCTCCCCTTTCCCATCATGCCCCGAGAGGAAAATCATCTGTAAAAGGCCATTCTGTGGCCAAAAGGAATTCTTGGCTCTGGTTGTTCAGGTCACGTCAGTGGCGGTCATTGCTCAGGTGAACAAACCAGCCACTGACAGTGTCCACACCTAGTCAGGAATCCGGGGTCAGCCGGGCCAGGTGCAAAGGCCTTCTCTGGACATCCTCATCCCCTCTGAGCCGTCTGAGGGACCCCCTCCTCCAGGAGGTCCTCGTGTGTCTACACACCTTCCCCCAGGTGCTCTATCACCTGGTCTCCAGAGTCCGTCCTCTACCCCAGCCCCTGGCCTCAGCCATTCCCACCCACTTCAGCCACAGGTACCACTGTCCCTCCCCGCTCCTGGCCTCTGTCCACTGACACCCCAACCACTCCCCCCAAAACAGGCTGATTCCTCACTTCAGGTCTGTGTGTGGCCTCTGGCTTGGAACTTGCTCCAACACCTCCTTCGCTTCCATTCTCTAGAGGCCGGCCCAGATGCCCCCATCCCAGAATCCCCCATCCAGACTTTGCCTCTCCTCGCCTCTGAGCACTCACAGATCTGAGCACTTCCCACTTCCCATTGCAGGCTCCCTGCTCGGGGCCTTGCCCTCTGCCTAGCCAAGCAAAAGCTGAGCAGACCTGGTGCTCAGACAACTCAGGAGCAGAGCCTGAGAGGAGTGTGGTTTGAAAGAATCCCAGGCAAAACGCTAGGGAGACCCCATCACAGCCAATAAGGCTGGGTGTGGGGGTTCATGCCTGTCATCCCAACCACATGAGAAGCATAAATAGAGGATCACAGTCCAGGTCAGCCTGGGCCAAGAGTGAGTCCCTAGTTGAAAAGCAACTGTAGTAAAGTATGCTGGAGGCTGTGCAAGCACGTGTGAGGCCCTGAGCTCAGCCCTCAGTGCCACGAAAAGAAAAAAGAGCCAAGCAGATCCTGAGACTTTCCACATTTGAACCCCACCCTGGGCCACGTGCACAGAGTCCTCAGCCAGGGCCCCGCACAGGGCAGGCTTCCATACCTGGATGCTGAATGGACTGGGAGTGAGTGGCATCTCCCTCCTCCCCGTGGTCCCCGTGTCTCCTTCATCTGTACCTTGCTGAACCCATCATGAAGAGAAGCAGCCCTGCTGAAAGTCATTCTAAGGAGAGCTTGCTCAGGCCAGCTTCCCACATTTGTGTGGATAATGTGAACAACTGTACAGTTAGGTTCTCATCTGTCACATAATGTCCTGGCTCCTCAGTTCTACCAGAAAGGAAGAAAAGGAAAACACAAACACAATTACATTAACAGCTGATTGAAAAGAGCTCGGTTGTTGGCTGAAAGCAAACTAACCTGGTAACAGCGGTTCTGATGAACACACTCCCCAGGACTACAGGAAAAATCACCTTGCAATTATAAATGATTGTAATACAAGCAATAGCTTGGGGCCTAATTTGAGCTCTGCTCTTTCTCTGCCATAGAGAATATGCAGCCTAAGGGGCTGGACAGTGCGGGGGGGGGGAATCCCTGGGGCCAGGGCAGCCCCCTCTGAGTGGCCATAGCTAAAGCTGCTTTCTTGCAAGTGTCAGACTCCCTGCTGCTCCGGTCAGCCAGAGCCAGGGCAGGAGAAGAGCCCAGGCCCTCTGCCCAAGATCCTGCTTTTCCTTTTAAGACATAGTAAGTGTAAGGAAAGAGGTTTCTGGAGGAACAAAGTCTTCCTGGCCAGCCTGTTGTCCTTGTCTCCACGCTCCTTTCAGGGCACTCAGTGCCATCCACAAGCAGAGAAACCCAAACAAACAAATCCAGAGGAGCTGGGTGCTGGTGACTCACGCCTCTGTTAGTCTTGCTACTCAGGAAGTGGAACTGTGAGGATCAAGGTTTGACGCCAGCCCAGGCAGAAAAGTCCATGAAACTCCTATTTCCAGTTAGCCACCAAAAAGCCAGATATAGAAGTGTGGCTCAATGTTAGAACTACAGCCTTGAGCAAAAGAAGCTAAGGGACAGCACCCAAGCCTTGAGCTCAAGTCCCACTACTGTCACACACATGTACACACACACACATACACATACACACACACATACACACACAATAGCCAGAGGCAAGCTATTGCAGGAATGCCCTTTACAATTATGAGTTGAGGTAGTACAGGAGAGGTGCAGGAGGAGATGGCACCAAGACTGCAGTGACCGCAGTGACAGCTTCCCATCAGCCCTGACATACTGTAGGTGCCACGAGCCCACGGGGCTTCCACGCATTCATTACAGCCACAGAACAGGCCTCACAGTTCAGTCACAGCCTGGGGTTCCTCAGCATAGGAGCCACTGGTTTTCTTGGCAGGACTCAAGAGCCTCAGCCTCTGCCTTTTCCAGGGTCTGCGGCTGTGCATGAGAAAGCCCCACTGGTGAAATCTCTGCTGCTGGCCGGGCCATCTGGAGTAGGGAAGAAAATGCTGGTCCATGCCATCTGTACCGAAACAGGAGCCAACCTGTTCAACCTGTCCGCAGCAAACATCGCCGGGAAGTATCCAGGGAAGACTGGCCTCCAGGTCATGTTGCACGTCGTCTTCAAGGTACACCTTCTATGTCATAGTTCCAGCTCTCCTCCCTGTGTCAAATCACATTTCAAAAGCCAGTGGCTCACATCTATAAGTCCAGCTACTGAAGATGAAAACAGGGGATCAAGGTTCAAAGCCAGCCTGAGCAGGCAAGTCCAAGAGACTCTAATCTCCAGTTATCCACTGAAAAGCTGGAAATGGAGCTGTGGCTCAGGTAGTAGAGAGCCATCCTTGAAGGAAAAAGTTCAAGTACGGCACTCGGGCCGAGTCTTTTGATATTTTGTGTAAATCCCTCCATTATTCCTTTAGCCACTCCTCTCCTTTGATTTCTTAGTGGCGGTTCTATAGATTACCACACTCACCCTTTACTAAGCACAGTACATGTAGAGTCAGTATTGTACCATTTTATATAAACTCAAGAAATATCTGTTATGTATGAGCACCACTTCCACATTCTCCTTCCTTTCTGTCCACATTTCCCCTGGGGTCACAGCCCTTCAGCCAAAGAAGTTGCCTTGGCATTTCCTTTAGAGCAGGTGCACTGCAGCAGATTTTCTGACTTTTCACTCATTGTTCTTAAAATGTGCTTACATTGACTCTAAAGGATAGTTTTGCTAGGTATAGATTTCCAGATAGACATTTTTCTAGCAACAATTTGAAGATGCTGTCTTTTGACCTCATGGTTTCTGATGAGAAGTTACCAAGTATTTGAATTGTTTATGTCCTGTGTGAAATGTGTCATTATTCTCTTGAGTGATTATGTTTATAAGATTATAAGTTTAAATTTTATTTTAGTTTTCATTAGTTAGACTTCCTTCCTCTCCTCTCTTTCTTTCTAAGGATCCTATTACATAGGTATCTGACTACTTGTTATTATTCCACAAGTACCTGGTTCTGCTCTGTCAAGTTCCCTTATTAACTAGTCTCCACTAATCTTTGTTCAAATTTACCTATCCTTTCTCCCACTCCATCGTGGGGGGAAGGGGTTACCTCTGCTGTGTTCCATTCTCCCACCCCGTCGTGGGGGGAAGGGGTTACCTCTGCTGTGTTCCATTCTCCCACTCCATCATGGGGGGAAGGGGTTACCTCTGCTATGTTCCATTCTCCCACCCCATCGTGGGAGGAAAGGGTTACCTCTGCTGTGTTCCTTTCTCCCACTCCATCGTGGGGGGAAGGGGTTATCTCTGCTGTGTTCCTTTCTCCCACTCCATCGTGGGGGGAAGGGGTTACCTCTGCTGTGTTCCTTTCTCCCACCCTTTCATTGTGGGGGGAAGGGGTTACCTCTGCTGTGTTCCTTTCTCCCACTCCATCGTGGGAGGAAGGGGTTATCTCTGCTGTGTTCCTTTCTCCCACTCCATCGTGGGGGGAAGGGGTTACCTCTGCTGTGTTCCTTTCTCCCACCCCATCGTGGGAGGAAGGGGTTACCTCTGCTGTGTTCCTTTCTCCCACCCCGTCGTGGGAGGAAGGGGTTATCTCTGCTGTGTTCCTTTCTCCCACCCTTTCATTGTGGGAGGAAGGGGTTACCTCTGCTGTGTTCCTTTCTCCCACCCCATCGTGGGGGGAAGGGGTTATCTCTGCTGTGTTCCTTTCTCCCACCCCATCGTGGGGGGAAGGGGTTA